GACTGGGAAAAAATAATTGGAAAAAAGAAAAAGAAAAAGTAATTTAGTTGAATTGAAGATGGTCTGTTCATTATTGTGGTCAACCATATTCTAGGGATTATTGAATTTAAAACACTTACCAACACACCATTATTGTTCTCAGTTACATTTATTATTATTATTTATTAAAAGCCAATATCGACCCAACTACTAATTAATTTGAGGAACACACCACCAATTTCTACTTATTCTCCCTTCCTGGTGGTGGTGGTTAATCATTTTTGTTATTTTTTTCTCAATTTGTTATACAATGAATTTCAACCCACATGGATAGTTGTTTTGTTGTGGCACTTCATTAATTTCTCTCATAAGATTTTCGGTATCTCACACAGTAACTTAAGAGCCTGCTTGTTCCACTTTCTCAAGTAATTAATTAAAGAACAAATATTTAACTAAAACACATATATGAATTCCGTCCCTTTCATATCCTTTCCTTTTCTAACATTGTGGGAAAAGTTTTAGTCCACTACTCTGTTTGCTTTTAGTATTAAACAACTTTTGAAGTTACACCAATGCCTAATGGAGACAATGCCTGCAACGTGGATTCACCTTGCAGCCTCTAAATGGATGGACCTTCCAATTAGTTCTCACATATTTTATTATTTATGCTGTGGGGTGTTGCCCATGTCTTTGCGTCATCTTTCTTCATCCATTTAATATCTGCAACCTGGTTGTTTCGACTCGTAACATATAGTAATTTTCTCTTCAATGATGTGGAAAGGGAGAAACAAAATTGTATTTTTCACTTTCATTGGGTTTATTTTTTCTTCACCAGGCGTCTCACCTTCTTCCTCTAACTAACGATACATGGGATGCCTATAACTAAAGATACCCAACAAAAAAAAAAAAACATTGCAGGGGAACGATTCGTTTACAAATTATTAATTTTTACAAATTTTTGTAAATTATACTATGTCTACTGATAATACTTAACTCAAGAGTATATTACCGGTCAGACATAGTATAGTTTGTAAATAAAAAATTTGTAAATATAACATTCCCCACATCTTATATCACAAAAACAATTTACTTGTATTAAAAAAAAAATTACTCGAAACCATTTTGAGCTTATAACTACTAGCTACTAACTAACAACACGCCTTTGAGAAAGCTAAACTATTTATCTGCGGGAGTGAATCTTCTCATATGCTAATTAACATGACCATATCATGTGGAGCAATTATAACCATACATGGATTAGTTAATGGTGATAAAAGTAGAGAAAAAAAAATATAAAGATAGAAAGTTACACAATCATCACCGTTGATTTAATTATTAATGATTAAGATCCTCCTACATGACATGATCATGTTAAATTACACATCACAGAATCCATTTCCATTTATTTGCAATGATCCATCCACGCACAAGTGAGTTCTCTGCGTAGGCAAGATGTAATATAATGAAATTAGTAATTGATATATATTGGATTAGGGGACTGAATTCCACTTTCATCATACGTAACTCAGCAGATAGCTTTGCAATATATGGCAAGTAGTTGTGTATTATCTATCAATTCTATTTCCTATTTTACCCCTATCTGATGTTACACATACATTTAATGAACTGGATGAATAATGGAAGTGGGTAGTTTTGACCGAAGGTACCTAATAATGGAGAAAATGTGTAAATTATTTTAAAAGTTACGTAAGCATTCACGTAAGAGAGATGAAAGCAAAAAGATTACAATCTTAATTAAAGGAATACTAGATATAGAAACTAATTTTTGCTGAACTACTAGACAGCTTGAACCTAGATACTTTGAGGAATGAATCATTTACCGAAAATAGTGATATTTTGATGAATATTCAACACAATTATATGGATTGATTATGGTTAACTTTACGTACTCACCTTCAATCAAACTTATGTTTCAAGGGGGATTCAGAATCTCAGATCATCACTCAAAGCATAAATTTAACAATTAAAAATAATATTGTTAAAATCGAGATTTTAAGTAAAGTCGGAAGGGGACTAAAAAATCGTAAAACGAAAAATTATAAGGTAAAAAAATCGTAAAAAAATCTTTAAAATGTAAAAGCGTTTGAAATATGGATAAAATCGTTTTGATGAAAAAAAATTATAAAAACGTAAAATCGTAGTGATAAATCAAAATTTTAAAAACTATGATAAAAAATAAATAAGTAGAGTCATGTAAATTATAATAGTTTTATCCGTGTAACTTTTTTTTTGGTAAACTATACGGGTAACTTGTTACTATAGTGTTGTGAGTACTGTTACTCTTAATAAATTTGATAAAAGTAATTTACAGAGATTTATAAAAGTAATGCTACGAGCCTATTTGGATGAGCTTTTTTTTTATAAAAAAAAGTATTTCTCGAAGAAAGTCTGTTTGGATGCCTGCTTTTAGAAAAAGCAGAAGTCATAAAAAAAGTCAAAAACTTACTTTTTCTGGAAGCTAAAAATTTTAGCTTTTAAAAAAAGCAGAAGTCAAAAGTCAAATATTTTTTTCAAAAATCAAATATTTTTTTAAAAATCTAAATAGATGTAACTTTTATAGAAAGTACTTTTAAAATAAGGAAGTGATAAAAAGAACTTTTTTAAAAAACCAATACAAAACGGGCTCTAAGTATATTCAAAAGAAAAAGTGCTTGTGCTAGTTGTATGAATGAAGGGATTAATATTTTTTATATTGTAAGAAATAATTTTTTTTCTTACATATATATAAAAGTGAGTAAAACCTATATAAGATCATGAAAAGAGCAAAAAAAAAAAAAAAACGTGAATCTCATGAAAATGGATCATTTCATGTTAAAATTTCACATCATCTAATCATGTGAAATTTGAGTATATAAAATCTCACATGACCAAATCATGTAAAATTTTAATACGAGAGAATCTGTTCCCGAACTTCATATATTTTTATATGTATACATAAGATAAAATTATTTTTTATAATATAAAAAATATTAGTCGGAAAAAAGTCAATAATAAGATTTATAGGCAAAAGCACCATTTTAAATATTTTGAGCAAAAGAATTGCCTAGTTAAAGTTGATTGAATAAATTTTTCCAAAGTAATGCAGTCAAACATGTCACATATGCTGATGGGACTAGTCTCGTCACTGACACTGACGGGACTAGTACCACGTCAGCCACGTAGGCAGTTTTGTTACCATAAAACTTCAGAAGACCATAACTTGTGACTCGGGTATCCAAATCAGATGATTTTTTTTTGATTTCACATAACTTTTCGAGATCTACGCAATGACATCTCATTTAACATATTTTATCTCTCACAAACATAATTTGAATTGGTAACAATTGTACCACAATCACGCGTTTAAATCCAGAAGATCTTCAAACTATGTTTGTGGGAGATAAAATATGTCAAATTAGATGTCATTGCACAGATCTCGAAAATTTATGTGAAATCAAAAAACAAATCATCTGATTTGGATACCCGAGTCACAAGTTATAACCTTCCGAAGTTTTACGATAATGAGATTGCCTACGTGGCGCTGACGTGGCACGAGTCCCATCAGTGTCAGTGACGGGACTAATCCCGTCAGCATATGTGACATATTTGACTGCATTACTTTGAAAAAACTTATCCAATCAACTTTAACTGAACAATTCTTTTGTTCAAAAATTTTAAAATGGTGGTTTAGTCGAGATTTATATGAGTTTTTAAAATATGAAAAGAAAATAATAATAATTTTTTTTTTCAAGTAGCTTGACTATTTGCGATCAGTTGATCACTGATCAAGGGTCAGTTACCCTGCTTACGATTCTCAAACGTATAAATAATGATTATAGAATAGAGAGGAGAGGAGAAGACGTTTAGGAGCTGTTGGAGTGGGGTCCGGAAGGTGCGACAAGTCATAGTTGATTTTAGGTCCTTGAGGCTTATCTTTCTGCATTCACTAGTTGGTAATTCACGAGTTGGTAAGGGGTATGGGGACTTTTAATTGATTCCTTTGATGGGTCCCTCTGAAGGGAAAAAGGACACAAAATATTGTCTTTTTCGGTTTATCAAGAGGGAACCAAGTGAAGATCTGTATGCTTTATCTTTGGCCCCTCAAAAAAGAAACAGATAAGTGAATAAATGAATCACAGAATAAAAGTTGCAATGTGGAATTCCCATAATATGATTCTATTTACATACATACTCCCCCACTTTTTTAAAAGGCAAAAGAAAAGAAAAGAAAAAAACTTTCCTGCCATTTCAGCACAGGAAGGAAGTAGATAATTTATTTCTCTTTATTCTGATGGAAAAGGGATATTTTAAAAGAAATCCATGTCACTCTGACTCCCTTGCTTGTTCTACCTCTCTATTTATCTGTCTTCATCATTTGCTATTGCACTGGTCCATACCAGAACAAAGTTACAATTAAATAGGATAATTACATATTGAAAAAATATAACCTTTTCACAAAGCCAATTCCCATGAAGAAAAAAAAAAAAAAGGAATACTAGAAATGAAAATGGTAGATTCTTATGCGAGTCATATCATTAAGTTGAAGAGGCTCCAAAAAGGAAACAAGGCTAAGTAAGATAGGCTTGTTGAAGGAGAGGGCGGTAGAGGTCGAGCTCTATTGCGAAAAGAAGAATTGGAACATTTTGTTACTTTGAGAAATCAAAAGAAAATATAAAGACATTGGACACACGTGTATTGTATTAAGAGACAAGAGCAAAGTTTTTCGCATCATCACAGGTGGGATGTCAGGACCCGCAATGTGTTGCTGCTTTAAGTTTGGTTCTGAAAGCCGAAAGGCCTACACTTTGTAAATGCTTAAGTGGGCCAAGGTGCTGTCTCGTGGTGGGGACCCCTATCAAGGGCAAAAACGAAAAGCAAATTTCTCCTATCAGATGGAAGGAAAAGGAACTCGCTACAAAGTACCAACACAGAGAGAGAGAGAGAGAGAGAGAGAGAGAGAGAGAGAGAGAGAGAGAGAGAGAGTTAGTTTAATCTGATTTGAAATGATACATTAACAGCTTTGGATAATAATGAATATGATCATTCAAACACAGTTATGATATCTACTGCATATACATAAGCCACGTGTGAGATGCTGACAGCAAAAGAAATAATTGTGAAATCCAAGCCCTTGAAAATTTTGAATCTCCTTGAGCTGCCAACGATTTATCTGCCTCTCCTATTTCTACAGATTGATTTTTCACTCGCATCGACAGATAAACAAACTTGGAAGTTCCCACCTCTTAAAAAAGCGACATATTCTTTGAAATTGCTATTACTTTCTTCTCTCGTATTGCAATTTGAGTCATGTCATTGCCCATCCAAAATTCACTGTAACTTTGAAAAAAAGAAAAGCAATGGCATTGTAGTCACACCAACAACGGATGAGGGAAATCATCTTTGATCTTTAAATTAAATTTTTTTCTAGGGTTACTATAATATCAGCCAGACACGTTACATATTCATCCTTCTTCCACATAGACAGGTCAAAAAGATGTTTAGCGCTCATGGGGCCTAGAAGACAAATAAAAAAGAGAAAGAGGAGAAAGAACATGTAGGTGAACATCCTAAAAAGAAGAAAAGTTGATTCTTTCCCTTCCTTTCCTCGATCTTTATCCTTTTTTCCCACCATATCAACCACACATCCTTCAAAAAAACCAATCGAATTTGATTAGACTTCATGATCCACCTTGTCAGATTATAAACACTAAGTGTACAAATGAATTACTACACACACTTCAGGCACATCAAAGGTCTGGTCGATTTCCCATCCAAAATTGTGGAATCCAAATCATTGTTGGCCGTGGTCTACTCGAGCTTTGATTGTTCCCATGTCTTCTCAAGGCGCGTAGCATAAAAACAGCATCAACATTTCCCCCACATTGGGATGACACCATCATTCACTTCAAAATCCAATGCCAGTTCATACTTCACTCCCATGCAACCAACCAAGGGATACCATTCTACTCACCCGCGGGTTGTTTCTGCTCTGGCTTCATCTGAACAGCAGTGGGTACCGGATGAACATAAGTGAAGCCAGAAGGAACAAACTGATGGTGGTTCCCAGAAGGCGGCATTGCAGCAAACTGGGCAGGATGCACAAGACCCTGAGAGGGCAAGGCACTGCCTTTCGTATTATTCACAGCTGCACCATTTGAAGAAGTGCCAGAAGAGCCCTGTCGTTGCATTTGCTCATGGCCACGCCGTTGGAAATAAAACCCACTTGCAGCTGAAGCATTAGAGGCGGAACTGTTGGATTGTGAAACTTGGGAATGCATATAAGAATTTGAGAAGAACAGCTGGGCCTGCGGTAACGTTTGCTTTGATATCTGCTGCTGCTTCTGTGACTGCTGTGGCAATTGAGGTTTAGTTCCAGTGCTGGATGAGGGAGTTAGCTGAGGGCCACTGAGGATTGGTGGCACATTCCTGCCACCAACTGGTGAGGATTTACGAGTTGGCCCAGAAGGAGAGTTCTTGGCTTGCTGAGAGGATAATGAAGAAGTTTGGGTAATCTTATTGTTGGTTGATGTTGAAGTTGTTCTTGGGCTACTAGTATTTTTGGACATTGAGGAAGTTGTTGGTGAGCCAACCATAACTGGAGGAGATGGGGACTGGTTGGAACTTGCAGGTTGCACTTGTGCTGTGGATGATTTTGGATTTGCTGCAAAAGATATTTGTGTGTGAGCTTGCTGGGAACGACCCTGCTGCTGCTGCTGTGGAAGAGTTTTGACTGATGATGGTTGTGATGATGCCATAGATGGAGGTGACTGAGAAGTGGTTGTTACCCTTGCAGAGTTCTTCCACTGAGGTGACTGAGAAACAGTGCTGCTGCTGCTCTGTACAAGGCTTTGAGGAAACGCAGATACGGCACTGGGAAACTTGGTGGCCATTGAAGATGTAGAAGGAAGATTTTCAGAGTAGACACTGCCATTACTTGTTGATGGTGTCTTATTACGAGAAGCAGCAGCTGCTGCAGCTGCAGCTGCAAATTGATTCTGCTTATGAAGCTGAAGAAATTGCTGATGATTTCGCTGCATTTGTTGCTGAGAAGTGACAGCATTGGTGTTGATGGCAGCAGGCATTACAGAAACAGCACCCCGGGAAGAAGCAGAACCAATGTTGAGATTTCGACCTGAGCTATCAATGACATTGTTACCAGCTAATGACGTTATTGAGGGATCAGACACATCTGGCCTTGCAAAAGCAATGGATTGCCCCACTGTCGCTGGAATTTTTCCTGATACCACTTTTCTATCTTCATCTAGATTAGAAGAATTAACTACATTTTTCCCTTCTTCAGGTGTGTGATAATTCTTCTTAAGCTGAGCACTGGCAGCTTGTGCTGCTGCCATCATCTGATAGTTATGAGTACTCTGCATAATTGAATGATTCTGTGCAATAGAAGAGAGGTCAAGGCCAGAGGCAGCTGTGGCTCCGTTGATGGATGCAAATGATATGGCAAATGCAGGAGATGTTTCACCTCCAGCCTTTGGACTAGGGTGCTGCTGCTGCTGCGGTTGCTTCTTTTCATTGTGACCGCCATTAGAACCAGCACCACTAATTGATGCAGGAGTCATCAAAGCAAAGTTGGGTGTCTGCATTGGCATTGCAAAATTTTGGCCATAAATATTCATGGCAGCACGATTGAGACGACTGTCAGCAGTAGACGGACTGTCTTCACTGCCCATCTCAGACTCAAATTGGCGAGCCGGATGAGTAGTGTGATGATTCTGTAACTGCTGCCTCTGCTGCTGCTGCTGTTGTTGCAACTGTAGTTGCTGTAATGACGGGTTTTTGGTTATAGGAAAACCTTGTAAACTTCCACCACCACCACCATTGGAGGCACTAGCATTATTAGGCTTTTGTTGCAGATTCTGTGCATGCTTTTGGGAAGAAGAGGATCCACTAGAAATACTGGTATTGTGATGGCCCTGTTGGCTCTGCTGTGATTGAGCAGCAGGAAGCTGCTGCTGCTGAATCTGTGAAGGGTGTAGCATTTGAGAAGAATAGAAAGACCCACTGAAGAATGGAAAAGCCTGGGCATGTGGGGTTCCACGATATGCTGCAGGTGGACCACCAACATGTGCTGGTATTGGAAATGGGTAAGCATTATTCTGCAAGATAGCTAAGTACTGGGCTTCATTGGCAGGAATATTTGGATAGCTGAAGCTCATTGTGGGGGAAGCCCCTGTACAGGAAGCATTAGGCGGGGCCGAATTAGATGTACAAGATGGTGCTCCGTTACTTGTAACGGGTAAAGACTTCACAGACCCAGGCCGAACGGATGCCGCAGCAGCTGCTTGCTGCTGATTTAATGGGAAGATGAAAGCAGGGGCATGCTGAAATTTGTGACAAAGCATAAATTAATTTAAAAAAGAGAAAGAGTAGGAGAAAACAGAAGACAAAAGCATCCATTGTTTTAGAAGACCAAAAAAATAATAATCATACCAATAAATTACTAGGTGGTGGTGCAGCTCCTGGGGGTAAACCTTGCGGAAGCAAAATTTGCTTCCTGGATGAATTATCAACATTTGCAGGCTGAGAGGCTTTGTCCCTCCCAATATGACCTGGAAACATGGCAAGACCGTGCCCTTTGTCTTGAGTAGAGTTTGCAGCCTTGCCGGGAATATTACCATGAAATTCTGTGGTGGGCACAACATTAAGATTGCCTGGCTTAGGCCCATATAATGATGCAGAACCAGCTGCTGCTGGCCAGAATGGATTCATCCTCGCAATTTGCTGGTGATATGATATATTACGAGCAATGTAGAAATGGGTTGCACACCTTTTAGGCCTAGGCTGATTAAAAAGAAGATGAGGCGGCTGCAAAAGTAAAAAAAATTAAAAAATTAAAAAAATTAAAAAAAAAAAAAAAAAAAAACTTTGCTTAATAAGGAAATCAATTCACATTGTCTCAAATCAGGAAATTTCAAGAGGAAAATCGCAAATACCGGTATAGGTGCAGAAGTCACAGTGGTTCCATCCATGGATACAACTCCTTGTAGAGGTGTCATATATCTGCTAATGAGAAGAGAGTGACGTCAACATTCCACTAAACTATTACAAATTTCAAAAACTACATGAGAACTGATCCAGCCATACCCCATGGGAGGAAGCCCGCCAGGCCAGCTGGGAACAGACATTGGAAGAGGTAAAGAATTGGATTGAACTGAAACGAGAACAGAAAACCATCATCAGGCACCTGAAGAGAGGAAAGCTAAAATAACAAGTATTTTAACTTCAAAATTGAACGTACCATTTTTCTCTGAGTTTGTTTGCTGCTGCCTCTGAACATTTTGATGTTGCTTCTTGTTAATCATATTGACATTGCCATTAGTATCCACCTTGTCAGCTTTCTCCAAATCAAGCTGCAAGTCAATACCTCTTTCTTTCTGCACAACAGCCAGTTTCTGGGATTCAGCTTCTTCGGCCTTTGCTCTCACTTTCTCCATTTCCACAATCACTACCTCTTCCTTGTTCATTCTCAGTGATTTCTCACCCTCTTTCACCACAGGTTTGACTTCCTGCACAAACCAGAACCCCAAATATCTAAGTAATTATTCTCCCGCAACATAAAGAAAGCTCCTAGTCCCTAGCCATGCCATGGCTCACTTACCTTTTGAGCGTCAACTACCAAATTGATCTCCGCATCCCTTTCCGGAGAAGACCTCAAAGGAGGAGGTGGCGCCTGAAAATCCCACCGGAAAAAAGTAATTAAAAAAAAAAACAGAGATAGAGATACTGAACATGAAAGAAGAAAAAGATAAGCACCATCAGATCTATCTGGAACTTCTCTTCTCGTTGAGTTTCACTCTCAGGCATTGTTGGATTCCTGAAGAACCAAAAAAATCAATAAAGCAAGATCAGGATTCACATTCAGAACAAACCCACCAAAAAGCTAAGGGGGTAAAAAAAAAAAAAACAAGAAACAGTAATAAAAAAAGAAGTTGATGCGGCTCACGCTTTAGTCACTTTCACGTCTTCACGGTCATCATCTACTACTTGGAGCACAGGAGATTCCTTTTTGGGTGATTGAGGAGGCACCACTTCTTTTTGCTTCTCTGATTCCTCTTTCAACGACTTAGAATCTGATGAAGTGTTGCTGTCAGGCCTAATCGGCTCCGACGAAGACTGAACAGGTTGTGAATTGGTCAAATTTTCCGGCGGGCTGTTCTTATCCAATTTGGGCAAACAAGTTTCCATCTTTGAAGGCTGATCGCTCTCAGCTTTCGTGGTTGTCGAAATGGGGCTGCTACGAACACTGAAAATGGACGGATTCTCGTCCTCGTGCTTCAAAGGACGCGGTCTTTTCCTCTTGGGAGCTGCAAAAATTGAACCCCCCAAAAAAAAAAAAATCAATTTCAATTCTTAGAGAAAGTGGATGATTTTCTTGAGTTCCCATAATTGAGAACCCACCAACAGCAGACATGGGAGAGATTGAATTTTGAGGAGGCGCGGATTGTGAGTTAGAGATCGGTGATTTCCCATCAGTGGAGGATTTATTGGCTTCGAACTTAATTGAATCGTTGACGATGATTTCTTGCTTGGAAGGTCCCTGAGGCTGTCTCATCATGCCGTACAACACTTCCGCGATCTCTATCTCGATCTCATCCTGTGCTGAAGAAGACGACTTTGACGACGATTTCGGTGGTCGAAACTTGGGTCCTCCATTCTGCTTCTACACCACCCAAATGAAAAAAAAAACACTGTTAGCACCCATCAACACCAACACCAACAAAACAACACACAAGTGACTCAACAACACCCAGAACTCACTATCTTTTTCCTAACCGAAGCGTTCGATGATGAAGGCGAGGCTGGAGCCGGAGAAGCAGCAGCCGCCGCCGCACTCACCGGCGAATTCGAAGGCTGCCGGTGATTTTTCTCCGGGACTATTCCACCACCGCTCGAAGTCCAGCATTCGGGAGACCTCTTCGTCGACGCTGAGAAAAGAAACAAACAAAGAGAAGGGAATATATTAGAACATCGGGAATCCCATTTTCTTCAATCGAGAAGCTGCGAATTCAATTACTTTACCTGACCGTGCTTTCCTCGGTACGGACACCCCGATCATCTCATCGGCGGCCTTCCACGTCTTCGGCGGCGTTGGTTTAAAAACTTTCGCCGGAGGGAAGCTCTTCCGATGGTTCGAGAGCGACGAAGACGAAGACAGCGACGGGTTCAGCGGAAGCATTCTAACTGAACCGCCTACGTCGTCATCGTCGTCGTCTTCATCGTTGACACTCTCCTCTGAAGTGTCTTCTCCACCGTCTTCTCTGCTGCTGTGCATCAACCTATCGCCCCTTCTCCTCTTGCTTCGACCCAATCGATCTCTCTCCCTCTCGCGATCTCGATCCTTTTTTCCACTCCCTCGATCTCTTAGCCTCGTTGGCTCTTGCAACTCCATGGCTCCGTCGTCCTCTGCAGAAACCAAAAAAAAAAAAATCACAGCATGAGAATCAATAAAGAAGAAAGTGGGTATATGTAAAATCAACAAAGATGGATACTTTTAGAGATCTGAGAGAGAATTGTGAACCTGGTGAGTCTCTGAGACTGTTAGTCCTGTGTCTTCTTCTCGTCAAACCATTTGTTGCCATAGTGGTTCTCCTAGCTTCCCTTATCCTATCCATTCCACACCAAGATGCTCACAAGATTTATCTCAATCTTTAATGAGTTACAAGAACCATAATCACCAGCCACAGATTAACACAACACCCCAAATTTCGCAGAGAGATATTTCTATCCCAAAATTGATTCTGTTCTCGAAAGATCCTTTTTACAATAATTAGAACTATCAGAGATCTTAGGGGCTGCTTCCCTTATCTTCTTTCTTCTCTTCACGGCACTTCACGCTGCTGCACCAGTCCTCGCTTCCCTTCTCTCTCTCTCTCTCTCTAATTCCCCTTTCTCCGCGCCCTCTTTTTGTGCTCCTATCTCATCTCCTTTCCTCTATTTTACTCTCTGCCAAACCCACTACAAAGACTCCTGGACGGTCACGATTCACCACCGCGTCACCTGTTACAATCCCCGCCCTTCATCGCCCAACAAATCTAACGGTTTCCATTTGCCCATGCCATCATGGCTACATCGTCACCGTCCGTGTCACTACTCATGCGAAACCCTTTTAACCTTTTCAGCGCGTATCCTCCACGTGTCCCCACCTTCCTTTTTTGTCCGCATGCTTCCATGTTTATTCACTACCAATTTGGTACAATATCTTTCTATTTAATTATTGAATCAGTTTAGTGCAATTATGTTATTCTTTCAATATTTTGCCATTAACAAATTTATTTAAGAAAATATAAACAAGGTATTGAGAGAGCACCGGTTTTATCCGGTTGCCGGTATCTTGGTAAAAGCAAATATGAAACACCACCCTCACAAGGAATCTAGGTGACCGCAGAAAATATCGTTCCCACCGGTCAAATTCATTATTTCGATTCCACGTTTACCCTTTCCCTTTTTTTATATTTTCTTATTTATTTTATTCTCTGTACTATCTTTAATTTCAGTCTTCAGAATGGACTATATTAGTGGGGCCCTGTGGGGATAAATAAACAACCAAAACAGACATTTCTGTTCTACGGACGGGATCCTCGCGTTATAAGCAACACAAGCTTTCTACGTCGTTGGATGTGGTCCAACGTGGCAGGAGCATTTATTGAAAAAACAAGCAGATTCCAACGAACGAACGAGTCCGACATGGCACTCAAACCAATAGGTTCGGGCGCGTCCATCTTCAAAACCAAATCTCTGCCGTCGAAGCTTTCCGATTTGACGGCTGAGATAAGCGCCGAAGCGAGAGTAACTCGGAGTCACGGTCACGGAACTTCCAAGGAGTGTGGACCCCGCAATAGCTGCCGATCTATAAATTTTTTCCTCTCCTTTGGCCTAATTGTCACGTTCGAGAGATGTGGTAGCTTCGTGACATGTAAGTGGATCCCACCATTAAAAAATTCAGAAAATTAAAGAACTCATCCAATAATCTTTATTTATCCGCGGTCAGAATTTACATCACAGTAAAAATAAACACTATCAAAACTTTTAATATTAATTAATTAATGAAGGGGGCAGCAAAACCAAACAGGGGTTTCCTTTTGGTCCACGCGCTGGACACATTAATTGGGTTGGACAGAGGGCAATTTTGTCCGGGCGACGTGGCAAGAATGGGTACGACACGTGGAAGTTGTAGCGAGGCTCATTCGTGGCCTGGATCTTGGTATTGGTTACACCTCTCTCCGCTTTTCATCAGGTAAATATCTTTTTTGTTTATATAAGGAGGGAAAGATAGCGTCACTCGGAGGAGTGGCTGCTTTTAACTCGAAAAGGCAAAGCTATTTTTTATTTTTTATTTTTATTTTTATTTTCACGGCTTAAAAAAGAAATATAATATCAGCGTGAAATGCGGAGAAAGTGTTGGAAAAGGAAAAGATTATTCGTATTTATTTGGATGTTGGAAAAGAGTAACAAAATTATATAAATGCAACGAAATTGAATTTGACAAGGCACGGGCGAGTGGAGTTATCATTACCTTTTGATAAAATAATAATAATTTCGGAGTAAGTGTGCCACGTCACTGTGGGTCCACTTGGGAATATGGACCCTACGGAATAGCTTGTCGTTTGCGGGGGGGGGGGGGGCTTTCATTCTCTCTCGCTCACTGCTGTCGTCAAATTCCACAATTGTGCCACGTCTGCACTTAAACTGCTACGTCAGTAGCCTACGTGGCTTGGTTTATGACCGTAGGCGGAAACCAAAAAAAACCCTAGCCGTCACCACACAGCGTTATTCTCTTCTCTTCCTTTCTTATCCCATTTTCCTTTTTCTAATTTGATTATTACTTTAAAAAATTACTTGCTTCTCATTAATTACTAATTAACTTATTTGTTTAAACTTTTTTTAGAATGATATCTTTTTAAGTGGGTGCTAAATCCATTTCAAAGCTTTCCTATTGTAGAGTTAATCAAATACCTAGCATTTCTCCCTCAAAATCTTGCGAAGATGGTCACGCGTTAACTTGTGGCTATATGTGTCCATGTCTTTAAAATCTTTCTAATTCATTGTACATGAAAACGGATTTGACAAAACCACACTATCAGTAAATTATTACTTTAACAGGTACAATCAGTTTTTTTAGCCCAACATATAGCTTTGCATTGATTGCTGAAATTGGCTTCTCAAATCCTTAAAATTCATAAAATAAAATTTATATGCTTGCATATTATTAAAAAGTACTGATATTAGTTGTAGCTTGTAATGGTTCGTCTATCTAAGATGAGATGAAATTACAATAAGTTATTCACGTTCTCGACGAGGGCTACAATTATTAAAATATCCTTTTCACATCTCACTTTTTATTCATTATTATTTAATTGTGAATAATTATTTAGATTTTATGTTTGTCATTTTAAATGACATAAGTTATGTCATTTTAAGAAAGAGATAGACACAAAAAATGAAAATTATTGAAGAGAAAATAAGTGATTTTTTTAATTTAAATTTCAAATAAAAAAATATAATTTTATGTCTCTCTCTTAAAATGACATAACTTTATGTCATTTAAAATGACAAACATTTTTCCCTAATTATTATCATATATTTTGTTATTTAAATAGGTTGTTTTCATGGGGAAGAAAGGGAGACTAAGTTGACTAACAACTAATAAAAGCAAGAGAGGCGAAATTGGGTACAAGTCTGTGTGTATAAGTTGCTAGAACTTTTATACACAATGAATAGTTTCCCCCCACCAAGTACATTCGTCACATGGTTATATATACTGTATTGTGTTCGGTTTCAGTATGCATCTTAGGTGCTACAGAATAATATTGTTTAAATGACACTGCGTGTATATATAACAAAAGATACCAATAAAATTATGGAAAACCGTGAATCGAATGTGTATGTAGCAATACATTAATAATGTACATTAAGATTGAGATTCCACCCAAAAGATATATCCATTGAGAATATCTTTTCACTAAAATCAAACTACAACTCTAGGATATCTATCCAAATCCTCTTTGACTTTATATAAACAAATTTTTATTACAAGATATATATTTAGTTTTGAGAAAGTTTATAGTTTTACCTTCTCTTTAAGATATGATTGTAAGAAATTGTAAAAAAAAAGTTATAAATATAACCTTCCTCTTTAATTTTACCTTTCTAATTTTCAAATTATAATATAAAATCTTATAAGAATCTAGACTTTATTCGAGTTTTGGTAAATAAAATGAAAAACAACCAATAAAATTTGTTGTTTGGTATTTATTTCTTACTTTCTCTTTAATTCCAACTTCCTAATTTATCTTTTTAAAATATTCCGGCCTTATATCATTTTCTTTTTACTCGTCCCACTATTACACTGTTACAAATTTTTTAGCTTTTATTTTGTTTTATTTTATTATTTTGTTATTGTTGCTAATTAGTTACTAGACTAGTATTTGAATTTATTTGAATAAGTCTTGGCAGTTTCCAAAGCCTAGCAAAGAGGGTAGAGGTAGTTTTAGGTGGTTCCTATTTTCATGCATTATGGCTTTCATGTGTAATTGTCTATTTAATTAGAGTTTGGATTAATAAAACATATCAGTTGAAAATATTAGTTTGGCAATGTGTGCAAGCAAGAGGTTAGACTTCCTCAGTAAAATCACCATTTTTTTCTTTCTTTTTGTTTTGTCATCCTTGTGTTACAAAAATAGCCAAGATAGGTAAGAAAATCCAAGAAAAACCTTTGTACGTACCAGCTTGGTATCAGAGCACAGGCATGGATGAACGTGTGGAGAGATTGGAAAATGCAATACAGTCCTTGTCAGAACAATTTAAGGAGATGTCAGAACAATTTAAAGAGATGTTCGCTCAACTTTCCAATAGGTTGGATGTTATGGTCACCACACCAACACGTCAGAAAGGGAATAATTCTGGAAGCAGCTTCCATAATGCTTCAGAATCGCATGCAACATACGCTCCCAAGGTGGTCAAGTTGGATTTTCCGCGATTCAATGACAATGAAGACCCAACTAGTTGGCTATGCCGAGCTGAACAATTTTTCCAATATCATCACACCTCATAAGAAGAAAGAGTTTCACTAGCATCTTTCCATTTCACAGGAGATGCTCAGTTGCGGTACCAATTACTCATCCAAGACCATCCCCATATCACTTGGTTGGAGTTTCGGAAAGAAATACTGCAACGCTACGGTGCCAATCAATTTGTTGATTTCTTTGGGGAATTGACCAAGTTGGAGCAACATGATACGGTGCAATAATACCAAAGTCAATTTGAGAAATTGCTCTCCAAGGTTGGACGATTGGAGGTGTCAAGGCAGGTAAGTTGCTTCATAAGTGGGCTCTCTGAGACTCTTCGGGCGGATGTGCAAGCAAATCGACCCACTTCCTTATCTAATGTTATTGGACTTGCCAAATTGTATGAGGCACGAAATAGCCAGATCTCCCCAAATAGCACAAGTTCAACCCTTTCCCTCATGAATAACCCAACCCGGAGCGAAAATCCACGGAATGTATCATCAAATATTCAATATGATTCCATGAGATCTAGTTTCATTCAAGTAACGGATTCTAGCCAATTGAAAGGATCTTGTGATCAATCCAGGGATCATTTCGATTCCACCAAATCCTCATTAAATTTTATTTTTCCATTAGAAGGGGCTCGCACATGTTCTGTAGTACCCCCCGTGAATACTCCGCCAGTATGAAAAGTTCTTAATGTTAGTTGAGTGCCCGGTTCTCCAATAGATTGGCCTGCAATAATACCTAATCCACCGGTCAAACGATTATCCTTTGATGAAATCTCGGAACGAAGACGGAATGGCTTATGCTTTCGTTGTAATGAGACTTATGTACCGGGTCACCGTTGTAAGAAGTTATTCGCAATTCACGCTTTCATGGAGGG